TCCCCCTGGGTAGAGTGCTGTGACATCACAGCTCACAGCAACCTCCAACTCCTGGGCTCAAGTGAGTCTCCTGTCTCAGCCTCCCAAGTAGCTGGGACCACAGGTGCCCGCCACAAAGCCTAGCTATTTTTTTTGTTGTAGCAGTTGTCATTGTTTTAGCTGGCCCGAGCTGGATTCGAACCCACCAGCCCTGATGTATGTGGCCAGCACCCTTGCTGCTGAGCTACAGACGCCAAGCCCTCTACTCTTGATAGTGTCCATCCAGGTGACCTGATTTTACCTTCACCTACAAAAACCCTGTTTCCAAATGGGGTCACATTCATGAGCTCTTGGTATTAGGACTCTCACATCTTTTTAGGGAATGTAGCAAAGTTGGTTAGGTTTTTGTCCTAATTTGTACAGTTTAGAAGCAAGCAGTGAACTTTGAAAGTGGAAAGAAGGAAAAACCGTTAAGGTTAGGCATTTTTTCTTTTAAGTGACAGAATTTCACTTTGTTGCCTTCAGTAGAGTGCCATGGCGTCACCCTGCTCGCAGCAACCCCCAGCTCTTGGGCTCAGGTGATTCTCTTGCCTCAACCTCCTGAGTAGCTGGGACTGAAGCCACCTGCCACAACGCCCCCCTATTAACGTTAGGCATCTTTTTTTGTTTGTTTGTTTGAAGAGACTCACTTTATTGCCCTTGGTAAAGTGCTGTGGCGTCATAGCTCTCAGCAACCTCCAACTCCTGGGTTTAGGCCATTCTCTTGCCTCAGCTTCCTAAGTAGCTGGGTCTACAGGCGCCCACCACAACACCCAGCTATTTTTTTGTTGCAGTGTGGCTGAGGCTGGGTTTGAACCTGCCACCCTCAGTATATGGGGCCGGCACCCTACTCACTGAGCCATAGGCACTGCCTTAACATTAGGCATGTTAAGAGGAGTTAAAGTGGGCTTGGCGTTCATAGCTCAGTGAGTAGGGCATCAGCCACATACACCAAGGATAGTGGGTTCAAGCCTGGCCTTGGCCTGCTAAACAGCAATGATAAGTGCAACCCAAAAATATCCGGGTGTTGTACTGGGTGCCTGTAGTCCCAGCTACTAGGGAGGCTAAGGCAAGTGAATCACTTAAGGCCAAGAGTTGGAGGTTCCTGTGAGCTATGACGCTACGGCACTTTACTGAGGACAACCTAGTTAAGACTGTGTCTCAAAAAAAAGCATTTAGGTGTCAGCCTCTGGAGATGGGAGAGGCACAACAGACTGGAATAACCCCCATAAAGTGTTGTAACCTGCATCCCATGTCATCTTCATGCACAGGGCAGTGATTTGTGTTTGTAGTGAATCTTCTTGAGTATCATACAGGATCATACATGTATATGGGTTTGACAAGTGAGGAGTGAACTTGATTAAGCCAGGCACGGTGGCATGGCCTGTCGTCCCAGCTAGGCCCCGGAGTCCAGCCTGGGCAGCATTCTGAGATCCCATCTCTAAAACAAAACAAAGCCTGTCATGTATTAGACTGGTTTCCAGCTGCATAAGAACAACTGCAGCTGGTGGTGCTGGAGGCGGAGTGGATGGCAGCCTCACTTCCTCATGCTCCCCCCTGCCCCGGGAGATTTTATTGGAGAACATATTGAAATACAGTATGTTGGCTCGGCGCCTGTGGCTCAACTGGCTAAGGCGCCAGCCACGTACACCTAAGGTGGTGGGTTCGAATCCCCAGCCCGGACCCGCCAAACAACAAAAG